AACGACACCTTAATCATCCATATTGCCATCGAACAAACAACAGTGTCCTCAACAGCTCATGACTTCCTGCAATAGTTGTACAATTCGCTTACGTTTCTAACTTGTTAGAATTGCTCGAGTGAGACCTAATTTTGGGAATAGGACCTCTATTAATTCGGTTATATACTGCCACACACTTTGAGTTATATGGATTTTCAAGTTATAAAAAAGTAGAGGTGATTAAGATTATCAAGAAACTGTTTATCTCAGCAGTTTGGCTTGTAGCATTTTTCTTTGTATGAGTAGGAACTTTTCAAAATAAAAGACTTGTTAGCAAGTACAAAGTGAATTCGTAGCACATAAAAAACAAAATAAGGCTCTGTCCACCCGTTAGAATTTTATGTCAGTTGTCCATATGGGGGACTTAGAAATTTAACCAGCTGTTATTCTACAGTAATGGATACTTGTGAAAAAGACAGTAGGTGATGCTTCAACTAAGCCAAATGTCGCACGTCACGGGTCTTTTATGGTTGATTGCTTCACGTGAATTTTTCAGTGTGTTCGTATAGACCTCCGCATGTATTGTTGTCCCTTTTCGGCATAATATTCAATAAGGAGGATGGCCTTGATCTCCCCAAAAGCTGCAGCCATCATTTACCTATCAGGGGACTGCATCTGTGCCATTTTGGCGGTGGCGATCCTTTAAGGACCCATTGCTTGGATTCTGTTTTTATATCAGGATTCCAGTTACCTACCCAAGTCTCGTCGTTTGTCACAGTTTGTGCCAAAAAGTCAGAATCGTTTGTCAAAGTTTCCAAATGACTTTCTGAAACTTAAACCTGCAGAATTTTTGTCCAACTCTCAACGGACACAGAACCCACTTGCCTGACACCTAAACTCATGTTAAAATTGCTGTACAAGGAGTTTATTACGCTGGGTTCAGATATATTCAATACTTCATTCTTCTCGACCAGGGTACATACTACTTTTGTGTATTGTACTGCGCTACTGAATTTTATATTTATCTTAGACTTGTATATTTTAAAGTAGCCTATCCAATGAACAATCTGAAGAATAAACTATCATTGCGTGCTAAACTTAGAGTCAGCCCACTTGTCGCCTTGTTCTGCATCAAACACACCACGATTTTGAAGCCACTAATGTCAGTAAAAATAAATCACGCTCACACCACTATCGAATTTTCTACCGATATTCTTCCCTATAACGAACTGGCTAACGAACTTAAAAAGCTTCCGTGCAAGACTGATGGCGCAACTTCCGGAACTATTTCACATTTTTTTCTGTAGTGAAAAAGATTGGAAACTCTCTCAAATTGACGGTGGCTCGTACAAATGGACTTTTAAAATTAGGCAATTTGGGAAACTTAAATGTACTCTTCCGATTCTCGGTTCCTTACTTTTTCGACCTGACAATCAAATTAAAATTATATATTGGAAAAGTTTTATCGGGATGTTGCCGATTCGTCGAAAATTTGTCGCAACCACAGAGCTTCTGAAGTAGCTAGATTTCCTAAGACGAGTAAATACGCTCCTTTTAGAATGTGTATTGAACAAAGCAAACATATTCGTGCTTTCCAGATTTCTATTGCATTAGTATGTAGGCCCATATCTGCAAACTGTAAAATCTAAGTCCTCCTAATGTGCCACATAAAGAATATTTACTTTTTAGAAGATAATATTTCCAATTAATGAAGTATGACTTATGTGTTTGGAAAGTGTACAGTAACCGACATTTTAGATTGTAGATTTTGTTTTTAATATATTTTTCAAAATTATTAGTAAACGGGACAGACTGAGTCTGAGAGAATTGAAAAGGAAACAGCTAAGTAGCAAACATGCTTTTCAAGTTTGATTACAAAATATCAGAAACAAAAATAAACTGAAAGAAGGTATTCTTCAACAAAACTAATGTGCAATGTTAAATGAAGAGCTATGACTAGACAACGCAGAATGTCGAGCGGTTATGAGCCAGAAGACGTGACGGTGTCTCTATCTTCTTCATCGAATGGGATCAGGATCATCAGATTTTCTACCTACTTGCGCGCAAGGTTATTGAGATTTTTGAAAGTCCAGACCCATTTGTTTCTTCCCCTTCGTTTGTCTCCAAGGCTAGACCTAAGACCTATACCCCACTGATAAATTGCTAATGAGCACGAAATAGCGCTATCTGTGGTTGGATCACAGGTAGCTTAAAGCTTGTATCCCAAACTATCCTTCTCTCCGTTAAATAACTTGTTGTACCTACTTATTAAGAATTTGCTCTTATTGGCTGCTGGAGAACTAGTAGTAGAAAGAAGTAAGAGTTCATGCATCTTCCAAGAATATCGTAACTTTCTAATTCGTCGTCGAAGTGCTTAGTTCTATTCCAGAAATGTTTAATTTGTCTTCATCACCTCTTAAAGAAAATCAGTGGAAGGGACAAACGATTACGAGGACGAAGATCACACGATTTTCAACTTTTTTCTATCATTTGGGTAACATTCAATAAAGTCCCTCAGCATTTGTACTGTGGGATTCAATGAATTTTCATTACTTTATGAATAAGCGATTGAGGTAAAGATGACTACGAAATTCGCAAATTTTGATTCTTTAACAGTTATGTTCATGTTCTGATGAAAGCAGTCAGCTACTCAGTAGACATCATTTTAAACGCATAATGTGAAATAAACACACTAATTGCCCTATCATGTAATAGATGCAAATAATTTGAGATTTATGCCTGAATTATTATTTCTTAGGAATATCGATTTAAGGCCTGTTTAGTAAAGTGAAAAGAGTCCCTCATGTGATATTTAATCATTTTATTTGAGAATGTACACAAAAAGATACATTTTTTTGCTGTTAGTTAAATCGAACGTTAGGCATATACTTCGAAGTTGAGTCATTTATTTTAACAGTGAGTAGATCTGATCAAAAGAAATGTTTTTGTCCTTTGCCATTTTTCTGGTAAAATTAAAGTAACAAAGTTATAGCCCTTTGGAAGTCTGAGTACCGCCCTGTCTCAATAATAATATTATGTGCTCGTGTTTGGCGACAACGGATATAATCCGCCTTATCGGTTCATCGCATCGGAAACAAAAAAGCGAAAGAATTTGGAACGATGTTTTTACAATTATTTCATTCAGTTGTATACAGTCAGTGTCAGTCGGTAGTGAATAGTGGTGTATGTTGCGTGGCTCAAACGAAATAAAAATTGGCACATGTTTATGCGGATCGGTTTCCCAATCGAGTGCAACCAACCCCTCGTGCCTTTGTTAATGTAGTACAACGGGTTCGTGAATCATTTGACTTAAGACCTCACATATGGACGGCATGCCGGTGCTCCAAGACCTCACGATCAAATACAGGTCCGCACTGAAATACTTGTCGGGAGGATACTTTATAAAACAAGGTAAAAATTTTTTTTTATTTTTTTTTATTTTTACACACATATTTTGGGTTATCTTCCTTCTACAATCATTATCTGAAAATTAATGACTCAACTTCAAAGTCACCCTGTATACGTAAAAATAACTTATTTGAAAGAACATGTTAATACGAGAAGACTAAACACTTCTTTTTCTTGATGCTTGGTATGATAAGGAACAAAACAGTCCATATGTAATGCAACGTCGCATTTGTAGCACTTTTTTTGCACCGGCTTGTGACACACGCGACAACGAGTTGGCTTGTCCTGCCGTACTAAATAATGTTCATTAGTGTTCATGAAGCGGGATTCTCCATTTTCCATATATGATGGTCTACCACGTTTTCTTGACACCCTGTTAGTCTCCAATAAGGTCAAGGCAATCTGTCTCCGGAATGTCAGTTGATCCATTGATCCTCCTTGCAGCCTATGTAAATGCCAGGAATTTTGAACAGACAAATCCAAAATATAAAAGATTAGACAGGAATACCATTTTTGTCCTCGGATTCTCTTACGATAATAACTAATATTCTCGTCACATCTATCTACACCTCCTATAAATGAGTTGTATGCTTTTATACACTGAGTTTGATTAACTGCAATCTTTTTTCGCTTCTGAAGCCTTGACACATGATGAATAGGATATACCTACTTGTAAATTGTTCGTGGCCACATTTACGATATTATTGTCATTCCACTTGACGATTAGTACTTCATTCTCCGTTGATCTGTAGTCATATGTGTCTCTCGTAGCTTTTTTCATGTCAGTTTTTGACTAGACTGTGCATTTCGACATTCTGTTCTCCCGCACTGTACCCGTACCTCTAATTTTATGCCGCAAAAGTTCCTCCAAAAGTGGTACAGTAGTAAAGAAATTAGCGAAAAAAAATGTGATACGGGGGAGATAGCATTTGGCGCAATACGGTAGGGAATGCAGCACAACGGGTGGCCCTAAACCAAACGATTTGTACATGCTGGGAATTTGAGTTTTTGATCCCTGATAGGGTTCCAATCACACACGATAGCCAGCGCAGTCTGAAGATGATATTGCACCCATCCATATTTTGAACCCATAACGGATTGGCTTCCCTTTGATGAACTCCTTACAGCCGTGCCTCCCGAAGTAAGGCACCATGGACTCATCAACTGAGTGTGTAGTTCGTACGGGGCAAACATTTTGGAAATTTCTATTTATTACTTCAAATCGTGGCCGAACTTTCGCAAATCGATCTTGTTGAGATAGCTTGGAATTGTCACAACAATGCAAATTTGACATAATTAATTCAAATCTATCTCTTGACATGGCTGAAGATACAACTTCGTTGCGGGTGTCTTTGCTATTCTCCCAGAACATACGACGGCGTGGAAGTTGGACATAACCGCTCAAAATCAAGATACCGAAGAACGCTTCTATTTCCGCTTCAGTAATATTACTGTTCAAGACGTTCTTTTTTGAAGCATATAAATAAATTGTTATATTTTTCAAACATATCGATGACGTGGTTATCAAAAAACTGAAAAAATAGTTCTGTAGGTGAGAAATTTGCTTTCACATCATTGAACATTGGCCATTCAAAAAAAAAACGGTTCTAAATCTAATCTAATCTAAAGCTACGTAGCGGTAAATCATCCTCATCAATTTTATCTCGTATTTCTTCCTCCTTGTCTTCTTGAGTAGTGTCGAATAATTCAGCTTCTGCCATGAGTTGTGTGCCTGGCAGGTTACCAATCGTCATCAAATCCTCGTCGCCCGAATCTTCATCTGTCAAATCCTGACACGCATTTATAGGGGGCTGTAAAATAATGCCTATTTGTTGGTTCTTAGGCAGTAGAACATCATCATCCTCATCCAACGTGTTCAAAATATCATCCAACGTCAAACCACTGAAATAAAAAATATACCCTTGTATGCCTATTGTTCGTTCTATCGAACACACAGATTTACGCCTGACTAGACAAAACACGTGTTGCTGTACACGTGTGTAAAGCAGCATTGAAACATGTTAATATACTAAGTGACATATAAATCCGAACACCCAGTTTAAATGGTTTTATTTTAATAAAATTTTGTATAAGTACTTAATGAAGCATAATAAGTAAATGATAAAAATTTCAAAATGATTGCACTGCTTTAAAGCCCTTTGAACTTTAATAATGTGTGGATGCACCCTGATGTGCTACGCATTCTCCAACGCGCCTAGGCAGATCTTGGTGGCCATGGTAACAATGTGACATCATTATGTTGAAAGAAGTCTATTGTGACTCTTGCAACCATTATCTGGTTGGAAAGTTGGATCTGCCAGGGTGTCAAGATAGGGTAAAAGATTGGGTTCTAGAACTTCCTGAATATAACGCTGCGCGTTCATGTTACCTCTGATGAAGATTAAAGGTGACCTGGAATCATAAGCTATAGCACCCCAAACCATAACTCCAACAGTGTGATGAACATGTCTTTCAACAAAAAACTGTGGATTCCTCCTTTCACCACGTCGCCTTCTAACCCTGGCACGACCATCGTGCATGCCTAAACAAAATCGAGACTCGTCACTAAAGACAATACTGTTCCATTCCTGATCCCAGAGTGACCATTGTCTGCACCACTCAAGGCGATTACGTCGGTGTTCTCGAGTTAAAGAGAGGACCCAGTGTGGCCGGTATGAAAACAAGCCAAAACTTATCATTCGTCGGGAAACCCTTCGCATGCCAATAGGTCTTCCGTGTTCTGCAAACCATTCATTTTCAATAGTCCTGGTAGTGGAGAAACAGTCTCTTAAGGCCAATAATCTTAGGCGCCGATTTTCACGGTCTGTTGTTCTACGGCGGCGCCCAGTGCCCCGTGCTCTTTGCGTACGGCCTTCTCGAAGCTATGCCTGACAACACCTAACCACAGTGTCTACACTTCTTTGCACTCTAACTGCAATTGCCCGAAAAGAAAGTCCAGCTTCCCGAAGTCCCACTATACGGCCCCTATCAAACTCACTAAGTTGACGAAATCGTACAGGTCTCCGTACTCTAGGCATCGTAACCGATCGTAAAGGATGTCAAGAACCAAAATCCGCCAACGTTGATTCTTTACTGCGGCTGAAATATTCATTTTTAGAGCGTTAGTGAATTAAAAAAAAGCAGTATAAAAACCGGAATGTCCAGCTGATAAGGCTGAAAATTTTTTCACTTGTTATTTACAGTAAGATAAATACATTCACCAACTTTTATTAAAATAAAACCATTTAAACTGGGTGTTCGGATTTATATGTCACTTAGTATATCTTAGAGAGTACAGATCTCAGCAGAAATCTAAATGAGCGTAAAAAGCTTGCAAAACTTACCGACAAAGTGTTAAAGATCGAGCATAATCTCTATCGCCATTACGCCAAACTGTATCGTTTTCGCTACAAAACAACTACAATTAACGACACGACGCCTGTTTACGTTTAAATCTACTTTGATCTTCCATGCGCTAAAGCGACATATTATGCGATTAAGCACCGCAAGTCTCGCACATACGCTCATTTAGAGTCAGCTACGCTCTGTTCGATTTTCCGGACAATAGGCATATATGGGTTAACGCCAGAAATCCGGGAAATATAACTTCGCATAGGTATGTTTTGGACCTTGTTACTAAATTTACTCTAACTGGATCTGTTGCAAAAAACGTGATCATCGGAGAGCTTTGGATGAATCCGCTCAAGTTGATGATTTGGGTCATCTTGGAATAAATACTAAAATTTCATTGCGCAAAATTGTTGCTGTGACTGGTATTTCATTAAGCTCTGTACACACAGTTACTAAACTCCATGAATGTCATCTATTCAAAGTGAAAATATGGCAAGAGTTAACCGAAGATGATTTCAATAGGCGAGTTGAGGTTTTGAACAAACGACTGCAGCGATTAATGATAAAATACTAGTCATGTAAAGAATATCTGCTTCAGTGATGAATGCGCATTTTATTTAAATGGATTTGTTAATAAGCATAACTGCTGGTATTGGAGCAATGAAAAACCTCGTGCTTTTGTAGAAGGGCATACCCAGTACCACCAAAAAATTAATGTGATTGGACCATTGTTTATTACTGGAAATTTGAATAGAGTCATTTATTTGGATATGTTGGAAAATACCATCAATCCGCTTGTCACTGAAACCATTGAAAACAACATCGAAGAGGATGGAAACCCTGCCGCAATGTCAGTCACAGAACTAAAAATGTTGGGTTTAAAATAGCATTTGTTTTGTGGTAGACTTTTTTTTTGTCAAAACGCTGTCACTTTAAAAAGGGATATGGAAACACTGGCAACCCGTCCTGTGTCTGTGACTACCCTTTCACCATCGATGTGCCTCTGCCTGATGAATCAAACATAGTTTCCCTATTCCTGATAGATCATGATCATTCCTCATTCACTAACCGTCTAGTTTCAGCATTATTTCACTCGCTTTGCCATTCAGCTTTTGCCACAGTTCATCATCAAGCAGTACAAGGAGCGTAAAGTTTCATTTCTAGTTAGCGCTCAAAAATTTCCCGAGAAATAGGGTATTTTAATTGGAAATTTCAAGTGGTAGTTTTTAATACTAGTATTTTATATTTATTGATTATCTTTTTACTTACCTCGCATAAACGAGAAAAACATTATAGTATTCGCGCTCATTAGTGAGTTTGAGAATCTTTTAATATTTTGCAATGTCTGAATGACGAAACTTCAAGCTGTCGGTCTGTCGGCCTATCTACCAGTCTTCCCAGTAGCTTTGATGCTGAACTGGACTTAATGAAATTTTCATCGGACAGAAAACTTGAGATCAAATGCTGGACATAGTAGTCCGATAATTCAACAACCGGGTGCAGTTACTGACAAACCTACCAAAGGTCAACCACAGCTATCCGGTTGCAATTTTGTTGCTGTTGTGCCTTCTACTGGACCAAGTTTTCAACAACACAACATATTGTGGTGGGTGACTCTTTTAAATTCCCTTATTCGACACACTTAAAAAAATAGAGAACTAACATATTGAAAAAAACACTGAGACTTTTCCTAAGATATATTCAGAGCAACTATAAGGCTTTTTTGTAAATTACTATAAATCCAGGAAGCTCACTTTACCCACCCCAGACTGAAAAATTAAGAGCGTAAGTATGTTTCAAATGTTTTTTGATATTTTTCTCCTAGTAATAAAAATACGATAAAACCCGGTTCGAACCCATGTAAATACCATTGTGTGCTTTTATTGCCATGAGGTTGGCGAATAGGAAGCCTTTCTACGACCTTGTATGCTGTGGGATTTCGGGCTAGGCATCAAGAAGCAAAACTGCAAGCCATTACAGACTAAATATTCATCCACCTTTCATCAGAATAAAGGTAGATCCTGTCTGCTCTTTAAGCCGGTAGGATGACGAAACGGCGTCTTTCTTCCTAGAGGCGATTGGGTCATGTGCCGTGGTCTAAGAGTTGTGATATTTTGGAAAATGAAGTTTGGTAGTGAGGAAGTGGACTCAGAGGAATGGTCGGCTATCTTGAACATGATCAAGAGTTCAAATATGTTCGACAAAAAATTCAAAAACTGGTGTTGGGCGATGTGGAACCATCCAAAAGGGGCAAAATTGCCCTGACTGTCAGGTTTTGCCTCCCCACCATTACCACTACGACTAGGGTATTAAAAATGTGGAGCAATCTGCACATGAAGCTTATTTTCAATATAGTTGATCGTAGCTAGTTGGGAACTTGGTCGGGCATTACTCTAAAAAAGACTTGCATTGTGGCCATGAAAAATTCAGTTAGCCCAAGAATACAGCCTAGTGACCATGAAAGTTGCCCTCAATACAGTCATGCAATATTGCAGGTTAGTACCCAAAATAACGATTTTTACCGGCAACTGATAAGAAGCGATGAAGCCCACTTCGATATGAACGGATTTGTTAATAAGCAGAATTGTCTCGTCTGGGCATCAGAGAACTCTCGTGTCATCCATCAACGACCACTACATCCTCGTCGAGTCAATGTTTTGTGTAGTGTTTGGTATGGACGTGTCATTGGACCTGACTTCTTTGAAGACGCTGCAGGTAATTCTCTTACAGCCACTGGCGAGCGCTTTCTTGATTTGGAGATGTCAACTGACCACCAAGGTCGCCGGATTTAACGGATCCCTACTTTTTTTATAGGAATGTTTCAAAAACCGGGTTTATGCCAACAAACTAAATACTGTAGAGCAGCTGAAAAGCAACATTATGGAAGCGATTGAAAATATTCCTTCCGAAACCTATCACAAAGTGATGGAAAATGTAATCAAGAGGGCTCAGGTTTGCGTGTTTTATAGAGGCGGACATTTGTCTGATATTATTTTTCATACATAATTAAAAGATTAAGATGAAAATAATTGACGTATTTTATTTCATTCCACAAATATTCAAGATACAAACCAGTCAGTTACATATCGGCCACCCTGTATAACTAACGACTGCCCTTGACCACATTTGTAGCAGTTTGCGGTACTTCGATATTGAGGTTCTGCCTCCATGGCGTTCATCTATAGTGTGGCTTCATCTTGCAGACATTAAAAATTCTAGATTTGCAGAGCTCCTGAAAATGTCACTGGGCTAAGACGTTTTTAATTCGTCGCCACCATTCTCCAAAGTTTCTTATTCGATAGAGCATCTTATTATCTCTCCGGTGCACACCTTTGGCGATGAATATTATTATCTGTGAGGAAAAGGGCGCCTTTCCTGATTTGTAACATGGAGAGGGTGAAGTGTAGCGAGGCGGAGCAATTATTTCCGCAGAATGATAAGCGGCACCATTATCGGTTCTGAAAGCATTCTTATTAAACTCACAGCGTTTGGGACTTAACTCATCCGTGGGAGTGAGATCGGGGAGAGATGGATAGGTTACAAGAAGATTGGTTTCCTCATTACATGATGTTTATTGTGCTTAAAGGATTACATTACTTTCGAATGACAGAAGGCAAATGAAATTATTCAGCCAATTAAATTAAATAAGTTTCCTATTTTCGAAAGGTCCATATCTGAACATCTATGGCATAAAATATAGAGCATTTGAGGTGTGGGCGGCGGGCAACGATGCCTGATGGACGATCGATAGGGCTGGAAAAAATGTATATGGGCTAATTTTACGGATCTGCTCGACTGATCCGTTTAATTTCACTGTTACACATGTTCGTAGCTTTAATTCTTTCCTCAGAAGCTCGAACAAGTCTCGAACATGATCGTTTGTGAACTGATCACAGCGTGGCGTAAGAGGTTGACGCCATTATTGTTGTTCCTAAATAGTTTTGAGTGTATTAAAAAATGAGTCTTGAATGAATTACAAACTTATGGGTATCGGATATTTTAAGAATAGTAGTTGCATCTTTATTCCAAGCTTTGCTAGAAGTATTGACAACTAGAGCTATTCATTAGCTTTTTACAATTGAATGATGGACATGTGGTGGTGCATCTAATTTCGGACTACGGTCTTTACACGTGAGTGTATACATGTCTGGGACTTTCCGCGTTACGATTATAACCTCTCGTTGGCGATATTGCATTACCTTTTATCTTTAAATGGATACTTACAAGTGGGTTTCCTTTGTTACAGGTCCCAATGCTTTAGAATGCCTTATTCGTGAGCACATGGTAAGTCTCTCTCGATCAGTCTCTTGCTATTTTGACTACATACTTTTTCGAAACGGTAACCTAATATGATTATTGGCAATTGTTAGGGAATCTAAATAACTCACATCAATGCAGATGTGGCGACATTGTGTATGCAAACTATCAGTACCGAATTTTGAAAATGGATTTTGGGTAGATCAAAAAGTTATAAAATAATAAGTCAAATCTTTTCAGTAAACCTTTTGCTCCAGTTTTATCGTTCCAAACCCCTCAAGACGATTCAAGCAGGTGATTCAATTTTTGTAATATTCCGGAACATACATGGGGAAAGTGGTAACCTGATCTTCGTTTGTCCAACCACAGACCACACTGATGAACGTTTTTTCGACTTCTAATGTCTTTTGAAATACTAGAATTAGGCTTCTCCTCAGCTAACCTTCCTGGGCAACAGGTGGTACCTTGGCATGCATTTGCATAATCAATGCTACCATTATACGAATAAATTTTTTTTATTTCCGGTGCATAGTCAATTGCGATCTATAGAAATTTTAAATTTCAAATAGTTTTCTAATGCTTATGTCTGCATCACACGAATCCATATCATAGGAGGCATATTCAAAAAACAGTGTAAAAATGAAGTTCTTCGATGCCTAATGTATACACATCTTTAGGGAAAAAGGTGCCTAGTTTATTTACAAGCCACATGTTATGGCAAATAAGGATTTATAAATGAAAATTCAGTACCTATACATCATACGTACATTTATTACAAAAGGTATTGCACAATAAAATAAAAAATATACAAAAACATTCATACCTGTACAAAAATAATACTAGGAAAATATTATCTGCACTTAAACTATTTAACCTGTACACTTGTGACTAAAGCTACAAACTGTGTGAATGAAACATGAAATGACTATATACAGAAGATGAGAAATGAAGATAAATAAGAACGTGTTTAATTGCTAATACAGGGTGATGGAAACTTCAGTAACATAATATTGAATCTTTTTTAGGGTTGAAAAAAAGGTTTAGAGATACAAGATGAGATTTGTCTTCCAATATGGAATATATAACTATTAGTCAAGCTATCCTCTAATAAAATGAAATATGCAGGGCAGCAAATAGCTGTGAATCACATTTATCAACTCCGGGGCGAGATTAAAACAATAAAATGACGTACCAATCACCCAGTATATATCTACAAGTATTTACTTTTATTAAAAAGATTACTAGAAGGATTATAGAAAATTAACGTATACATTGTCTTTTAATGCTACTAAGTCTACAGAACGTGAAGTGTAAAGCAATATCCACCTCTAAGTTACATATCCTTTCTATAATCAATTGTCTAGTAGGGCATGTCGCATCTATCGGCATGGTTGAGGAAAATATAAGATAAAACTTAAAAATATAATCTATCATAAACCACTCAGACCAGTCGCATACATTCGGTATTTCCATTTGGAATCATTTAGAAATATTCAACACATTCTATTAACAAAAGCAGCTAGCATATCCTATCAGATAGTCTAATAGTCTTGGACTATTTCGAATCTTAATAGTCCAGGAATATTTGGCATACCCTGCTGTAGGGATGTTTGCTAACATTTCTTTGTTTGCATAAGTCTAGTTCCTCTGCTATTCCAAATCGGAATTTTGAATGTGTGTAGTTTTCTAGTGACATACAAGAATAATATTGAAGTGCATTTTTGAAACCAAAAATGTTAGCTAGGATATCAAAATAATGAGAATACAACGAGTGGCATGTAAAACATGTGAAATTGAGTCACAAAAAAAGATTTACTTTGCGAATAGCTGAAGAATAAAGATAAAATGGAAACTAAATCTGAATTTTTAATGGAACAACGGTTTTTACGAGTATATTCCACCTCTTTCGTTTATAGACGATATCTGCTGGAAAGTTTTTGAGAACTAGTTTCTTTTTCGTATTGCTTTTTCTGATTTTATATATAGAGTTATATATAGTCTACGTTTGCATAATCAAAGAAACACGTCGTATAACAAGATTCGCCAAGCTATATTTATAAGAGAAGAGCACCATTTCAAAACTCAAGGTTCTAGCTCTACTACTATACCAGGATCAGGTTAATCAGTACTAGTCATAGAATCCGTAATATTATTATTATTATATACATAAAAGGTACTTTCTACCTTAATAATTTCGAGACAACCTAATCCTCATTCAAGGCAGCTTCATGTCATAGGACTATTCAGAGACTTAAAGACCAATGAACGTGCAGCTTACGTGGAAGAGCAGGGTGTACAGTCTCAGTATCAAATGGTAACTTATACCTACAGTACCACTTCAACATATCACACAAGTATCTGATGAAGTGGTCCTCGGATAATACACCAAATTGGGAGTAAAAGAATCACCTGTTACCACCTTATCCCACGTAAGGGTACGGTGGGAATGGTGCTGGGAAGTAACCCGGGAATGCAGCTGCTGTTGGTGCTACCGGTACTGAGTGCGTCATGTACGACGTCAAAACGGTCGGCAGTACTGTCGTGGAATACACTGTTGTATACGCAGTCTTAGCACCAAAGGTCAACTTGAGCACCTTGCTGTTTGTCTGGGTAACAGTAGTACTTTGAAAGATAGGTGATGAAGTCACAGTGAACTGAGGCGCGGGTTGAGGTAAGAACGGATTAAATGGTATTTGAGGTACTTGCGGCACATGAGGTACTATAGGTGGTAATTGAGGAGGTACAGTGCTTGTACCGTACTCATAGTCGGTCTTGGTGATAGTACCCTTAAGTTTTGAGATGGTGCTCTGTATGGTAGTGTGTCCTTGTGTAACAGGTAGTACAAAAGTTTCGTAGAGGGTTTCAATTTTGATGATCGGTTTGGAAGTGGTGATCACACCACCGTAAAGGGCAATACTTTGCTGATTCTGTTGGTTATTTTGGGCCGCCATGGCTTGCTGCTTCGCTTGATTCTGCTTCGATCTGCGAAGAAAAGTGTCATTTTTATTCCCGAATATCTTGGGAAAAAAAGTATATTGGCAATATACCTAAAACAAATACTAACGAAAGTAGCAGAAACATTGATCCTAAACAACACTTTGCAATACCTCACGAACGATACAAATATTTTTCAAGTAACAGCGAAGAACATATTTATTTTAAAAACTTCTCTTTCTACCAGAAATATGTATTTGTTGTATTCTAATGAGAATGCATGAGGAATTACAAATTTCAGCTTGCTGGAATATCTAGAAAGATTAGTGGTGAAGATATCTTCCTGTTTATTTTTGTAATGGTCAAAGTATCTCGGTTATGAAGTACATATAAAATTTTGAGTAAACACCTTTATCCATTTAGGGAAGTTGAGACTTTCTTTCAGTAAGTACGCGTTCCTAATAGCACATACCTCAAAGGCTTAAGATAACCGAGATATTGAATTTCGAGAAATCTTTATTGGCCACCCTGGCCCTGCAAAGATACAATGTGCGTCAGGTGCATCAGTGTCCAAGTCCAGGTCACCTATTTTTTATCCACAAATCGGATTTGAAAAAAAAAGTTGGCGTATTCCTATAACAATAGCTAGGTGATCGATTTGATGTTAGTTTAGTATCCTCAGGACGATACTTCGCGAACGTATTCAAATTATTTTCTGGGACGTTTTTCTCCGAGATGGATAGTTTTTTCATCGTCCAAAGAATGTCGAGGTGAAAAATACGTGGACAGCCCCAAATGCTGCAAATTACGCAAGAATTTAAAGAAACTTGTGTTTTAGAATCGAATAACAGTTTGAAGTAGTATTTACGACCGAAACTTGCGACAGGGCAGGAATTCTTGATCAAATGAATTCCTCTTATATTATATTTATTTCAAACGTAGTTGTTTCTGTAAAGTACCAACTTTACATTTTTCTTGGTTTCGCAAACTAAGGGTATATTTTATTTATTTAAAATAGAGTCTGTAATGATACCAGTCTAGATGGTACAAAGGTGCTCAAGTAGCATTTAGTACATACCTTAGTTGTGCCTCTAGAAGTTTTTGCTTATCCACATCGGAGATATCCAAGTTAGAACCAACATTGGCTAGGTTCAGATCAGCAGGCAGCGTGACCTTTCTAACTGGGGTGTCGTCCTGATCATTTTGATCGCCAAACTCGAGTTCTAGGTGTAGCTCTGATCCAGCTTCATCCAGTCTGCTGTTGAACTCGTTCAGAGTTTTGCTGGGAATGAACTGGTAGGCCTCCATTGGTGGAAGGGTTTTAGTTGCCGTCACCAATCTGGGAAAGAGCGGTGTTAGCGCATTGAACTGCTCCTTGCCATACACTCGCACACATACAGTGTGAGTTTTTATTGTGGGCTCGATCGATAACTCGATTATTACGCATACTATCTAAAAAAGTTAATCACAAAAATTGCAGCGTTCCTTGGAAAATATGTTTATCTCTGTAGAGTGTTTATTTAAAAATCCATTTTTTAAATCGAAAGGCCTACACCTTTTCACAGGTTTCAAGCAAAACAATTTGTTATAACATACTATAAAGCTTTATTACCAAATTGTTGGGAGATTGGACAAACTATAAAAAAACACACAACTTTGACACCTCTCACCTCCGCAACTGTTATAGCGAATTTTCGGTCAGAAATGTCATGCTCCCATATTCTGTCTCTATCTACTCACTTTTTGAGGATTTTTAGGTGGCTTATACTGGGCGGCTAAGAACGCAAAAGGAACGATTTCTTAAAAATGTTAAAAGTATATCTTCAAGTTCCTTGATTATCCTTTTTACAGGCTTTTCTTGAGTCACAGTTTTTGACAGACAGATATCAAGGTAAATGAAAAATATTACAATACTTTTAAAATCAGGAATAGGTTTGAGTTGGTAATGGGAGTTGTTTAGAATTGGTGTATTTTCACTATAAATTAAATCTACAGAGCCTCATGCAATAAAGTCGAAAAGCCAATGTGCCTCTGTGTCAAAAACGAATCGCACTAACCTTATATCAGAAATCTCGTGAAAAGGGAAGATGTGAAAATATACAGGGTAGCTCCATTTGAACATTTTGAGAAATAGATCATTTTGCCTTATTGAGCACCTTGCATATACAATCTGGAAAGCTGAAAAATCAAGCAGATAGGAGCAGAACATGGAATCCTAAAATTTGTTTGCCAAAAAATTCAGTACTCTAGCGATGATAATATTTGCGGGGTGTGAGTTGCCAAAGTTCAGTGATAGATAGGTTTTCTAATATGTATATCAACGATTTGGCAATAAAACCCCTTAGTATGTTATATCAAATTGCTTGAACAATCCTGTCCAAATCTGGAATGAACTGTAGGACTTTCCATTTTCTAAAACGCATGCTTCTTCTCTCACCCTGTAGAAGTGAAAGTATTTTCTGTGTCAGAAGTACTCCGTAGGCTACACATTTAGGATTTAACTTTTTTGAATAACATGCGTAATAACGGGGCTATCGACCGAGTCCTTACTAAAAACTCACCCTCTATTTGTTTATTTACCAACAAATTGAAAATCCTAGATACATAACTCTGAATACATGCAAATATTAAATTTTTGTTATAGTCTCCCAAAAATGTTTGCTACTCCACCTATAAATTCACCGGTATGAAATATACAAAAACAATAAACCATCTGAATCTTTTTGTGGTTTGCTCACTCCGCCATCACTGAAAGACTTTCCAAAAATTAATTAATTCATTTCGTACCATGACACTGCTATACAAACTTCTTCAAATCTACATAAAGTAGTAGCTATAATAATATATAGCTTTGTACCAAGTTGAACTGTTTTTGAATTATGCGCAATTATGTAAAATCGTATGAAAGGCAAAATTATTCCATAAACCATCGCTTGTTCAATAATGAATAATCTATCTTTATATGTTTTCTTACTGTACACGCGATCAAAGGATGGCATATACTATAAAAATGATTTTTCTTCACTAAATGGTTCGATTTTACAGTGTAAAGTCGAATTTGTGGAAAATGTTCGCAACAGTGTAAATTAAAAATCATTGCAAAAACTTCCATCCCTTCTGTTCTCTCTTATGGTATATCATATGAAGCGATACAACCATATGTTTTTTCTCAATAACTCAAAATACTAGATCAAGCACAATGCCACCGATATTAGAAAAAGCCATAAAGTTCATTTTGATGCATTTTCCCGCTCTTGTTTTGTATCCCTGAAGTAGTGTCAGTTAACTAATAGTATAGTGTATTTCTGAAGTATCACACAAAGTATTAAATAATCTTGAAAATTAATACACAGAAATAACATTCTTCAAGAACATTACAAGACTTCAGACCAAACGACGCAACAAAAAATTAAAAAACCGTTACAGGCCTTCCGAAAACCCTGTAGAAGTGACATTTATAATACTATAAAATTCGGCTATGCTCTCCATATCCAAAGAATCTTAATTTGAAAACAATGAAGCTCATTCTCAACTAACTGTGGAAATGTAACACGATCCCGAATGAGATGGCTTTGAGTTGAGAAGAAAATCCGTGATCCAGTTTAAATCGTGTTATTATTGTGGACTTCTCCATTAAAATAAGAAGTGCTCGGGTATGTGGGGATACTTTTGGGTAAATTCGGATGTAATGTCTTGAACGGTTATGAACTAGGGAGTAAAATCAAATGAGTTGGATGCGACTGTTACTGATTTAGCTGAGGGACTTCACTATAAGTAGTTTTCTAAAGGAACTTGTTTCAGTGTTTCTCACAACTAAGATATTAATATTTGCATTTGACTTGAAACATGCTAAATATTATGTATATGGTTAGGAGTCGCGCATACTGAGGGGTGGCCAGTAAGAGTTTGTCTTCCGGAAATGCTCACTAATGAGAAAAAGTTCCCCCTATACGCAATCTGTTGATATTCCATGGCCCCTAATAGGGAATGCCTCGGCATGGCATCGTCTTCATCCACAGTATCTCACACCATGGCCTTGATAAATCTGAATGAGCTTGTAGAATAGTGCGCGATGTGGGGAGGGTATAGTTAGTTTCCTAACACGTGCGGAAAGTGACACTTTTTTCGGCTCCGTATCCATCAGGCGCGTATCGATACGTGCGACGTAGTCCGGCTGATGATCGTGCGCTGTGTGTCGCTTTCGTGCTGCTGTGCGCTGTATACTGTAGTCAATATCGTCATCCACACGGGGTTAAGTTATAGCAACAAACATGTGCGTTCGCAGAACTTTCTGTCAGAGGGAAGTAAAAGGTCATTTAATTTTTTATTATAAATGTTCGTAGAAGGACTAACCTGTACCGAACATAATAATTTACGAATTGATGACAGTGTTGCGTGTAACGCACAGAGTCAACTTACGCCATTTTTTACCATTCGATCGGCACGGGTACCTTGAAAAGTGACATTATGTCGCTCTTTTGTCATTATGTTGTTTTTTTGTGACATTATGTACGTTTTTCTACAAGATGTTAACCTAGTTTTGTAGTTGTACGTGTTGCTTCAGTTATCAATGTTTGGCTCTGATGTGATGTAAAATCTGCTTCAGATGTGGCATTATTGAAGGTCTAAGCTGTAAGTTGTGACTATACCTAGAAGGAAACGGCAATGCATAGGTGAATAGTGAGGATTTGTATACTAATAATATGTGTTGATGATAATTCCATTGGATCCTTGTCTCAAATATACTTCCAAACCTAGAAATTAGTTGCGCATCCAATTTGTCTTATCCATTCTCAAAGTTTTTCAAAACACGAAAGAACGTAAAAAATCGTTATCTTTAATTTTTGAACATAACCTTTCTTCAGAACGGACAACATATAGATAACCCGTCGGACACAGCTAATAGACATAATTCATTGACAGCATATTCAGTAATGATTTTCTCTTACAGCAGCTGTCACTGATTTTATACGCTTGCAGACCAATACACATAATCATCCAGATGCGATATTGCTATTCAACCAGAGATGAAAACTACATACTACTCGGCTTCACATATATGCAACCAACAATGCGTGTAGTTGAGTCATTCTCCATAGATGGACGCTTACAACAATCCCAGTGAGCAAACGTGGAATGACTGTTTGCACCCTAAAAGCTACCTAGTCTGCCAGATGACATTTTATAGGTTTTTTATATAATACACGTGCGGAACGTTAGTTGAAGTGTCACTATGATGTCCACAAGTTGAAATCGGATTATTGTGGTGACAGGAGTGTCTTAGGTAAATATGAATGTAACAAAAAACAGTTTTTATTGAAATTATGTTGGAAAGAAACGCTACGAATATACCGATGTTTTTACGTAGTAACAGATCTGAACAACCAACATTTAATTTAGGCGGATGCTGCAAAATATTTTTATCACTATTAACCTGAAAAGTATCCATAATTTACCGCATTCCTCTAAGGAGACGTTATATTTCTTCCCCTAGCTACATAACGATAATGAAAAAAATCCTGGGCAAATAATGAACGTGTGCATTCATTTGGCTTGTTGGTTACAGAATTGCCACTGAAATTAGACACTTTATTCCATTTTGAATTTCACTAATAACTATTATTTACTAAAATGCAGAGCTATTTCCGAACCGAAATTATTGTTGTTGATTATATAGGTATTATTATAAATGTACGAGGAGAGAGAGCTATTTTGTGCTTGTTTCATTTTTTACGATGGCAAGCTGCAGTGAGCAACGTGCAGCTGAGAAATTTTGGTTTCTAATGAGTAAGATTGCTGCTGAAACTGTTTCAATGTTGAAAATAGCTTACACAGATGATGCTATGGGAAAAACTCAGGTGTTCGTGTGATTTCCTCGATTAAAAAATGGCGACATGTCTTTTGATGACAAACTTCGCTCTGGACGTCCATCAACTACCCGAATCAACGAAAATGTTCAAAAAATTCGAGATCTTGTGCTGGCAGACCGTTGACTGACAATCGATCAACTATCAGTAAGTAGTGGGTTGTATTGGAGTTCGGTTCAGCAAATTTTAAGAGAAGAAGCTTGAATCTGATCCAAATTTATTATTGACCCAGAACCGAAGCAACAGTCAAGTCAATGGAAGACGCCACCGTCATCGTCATCGTCAAAAAATGTTTCGAGCAGTGGAGGCACCGATGGGACAAGTGTATTAGTTGTAGTGGACAGTATTTTAAAGGAGGTAAGGTTACTTTGTGAAAAAGTTGAAAATAAGTTGCTTGTATAAAATAATTCCGGATTTCTTTGGGTACCCCCTAGTATATTATGTTCACATGTTGATAAGTTCGAGTATTTAAAAATGGATGGAAGACGAATGATGAGCAGGTGTGCGGCGTACGTAGCATCTATCCTCTGTAGGACTCTATCATGTAGCAGCAGTGCATCTCTTATTCTGTGATGCAGACATTTCTTGTGCTTTATTCGGTCAGCTATGCCGGATGTTCAGAAAAATAGATATGCTATATCTCAGATTCTAGTCAAACTAAACATGATGATTTATCAAATGTAGTGATAAATATGCGAGCAGTGAAAAATTTTGTACATACCTCGGTGGAGAAGAGCATTGTTGTCCTCGCTTTGCGCCCCAGTATATAAAAGTGCTTCTTTAACAATAGCATATTTCTCCACCAAGGTATGTAATGTACTATTATGTTGTAAATGCGGATTTCGACAATATTTTTAGATTCTATTTCAAATATCTAAACTTGGCTCTCCCTATAACACTGTTTGGTCGCTCACGCATGTGCGCCCAAGAACGGCGCGGGAGAATACGTACTGCCGCGCTGGGCAGACACTGCCTGACATTGACCGTGAGTGGTCGTAAATTATAAAAATCTAACATCAGGTGTGGGGTACACGTGTACTTTTCGTAAACGTTTGGTGTTCTGTGAAGTTTTGTGGTTGTGAAAGACATTATGGCAAAAGAGTTGGCAAAGTCTCTAGGAGCAATTGCATCGATTTTGGAAAATCTACAGAGGAAGGTGGATGACAATGGAACGCAATCTTCAGCTGCTGTTATCCAAAAAACTCCTATTTCTTTGGCCTTGCCCAGTTTTGATCCGGACAGCACCGATAGCCACGTATGGTTACAAAAAATAGAGGGATATAAAAATGAATTTGGTTGGTCTGACCGGGAAACTGTAAGTAGAATTGGACCTTTTCTATTAAAATCTGCACAAGGGTGGTTTTCTGTATGGCAGCCTACTGAAGAAACATGGGAAAATTTCAAGATTGATTTTTCCGTATCATTTCCTAAACAGAAAAATCTAGGTAAGCTTCTCAGTGAGGCAGTAGGCTATCATAGCTCAGAGGCCTGTAGTTACGTCGAATATGCTAGAGTCACACTCGAAAAGTTGAAACGCACCCGAGCTGGTTGGGTGGATTTGGATTTGATAGAGATTATCGCACATTCGATAGATGGTGCCGTTGTAAGAACTGCTGCTTATAATTGTGGCGCGTCATCTGTAAGTGATTTGATTGCATTCCTTGCTAATTATATAAAAGTTCCATCATTCGATAAAATGTCAACACATCCAAACAGTCAGAGTGATGACCTTCCACGGAAAAACTCCAAACAAATTAGTTGTTATTCCTGTGGCAAAATAGGCCATTTTTCTCGAGAGTGTAAAAGTAAGGCATTTCCAATTCACAGCAACACAGATGCAAAAACGTTCTGTCGTTACTGCAAAAAACCGGGCCATGAAATATCTCACTGTTTTCGTCGTCAAGACAAACGTGCTCGAGATAGTGGCGGCGAAACCAGTGTAGATAAGAAATTCAAAGGGGAATAACTTTTCCTTAATTCTCATGGTTCTGAGCTCGGTAGATGTTTGAAGACGTTGCCAATTGTAATATCAGGTTATTGTACAAATTGTTTAGTAGATACTGGTTCGACATGTTCATTAATTAGCGAAACGCTGGTTGAAAAATTGAACCTTGATAAAATACCGCGTATCACAGCGTTACAGTGGTTGCGATCTTATTAATCTATGACCCATCGTAAATATGTGCACATTGCAATATTTCCATCGTGTCATTCTAAGTTCCGATATTAAATGACCCATCGTAAATATGTGCATATTGCAATATTTCCATCGTGTCATTCTGAGTTCTGATATTAAATGACCCATCTTAAATATGTGCATATTGCAATATTTCCATCGTGTCATTCTGAGTTCTGATATTAAATGACCCATCGTAAATATGTGCATATTGCAATATTTCCATCGTGTTATTCTAAGTTCTGATATTAAATGACCCATCGTAAATATGTGCATATTGCAGTATTTCCATCGTGTCATTCTAAGTCTTGATATTAAATGACCCATCGAGAATACGTGCATATAGCAGTATTCCCATCGTGTCATCTGAGGAATTCCTGTTATAACAAAAAATTAGTTGTTGGTGTTGAATGAGCAGTATTTTCATCGTGTCATCGAATGAAATCCTGTTACAAAAGACTATTGAGCAGTTACTGACGGAGCAGTCTGAGTAATGCTCTGTTTTTGCTTATTTCAGCAACTACCAGCGAAATAGACGAGCAAGCTAAATCTCGACTATCAACCCTTGGAAGATGATGTTCAATAATAATCATGGCTTATAAGTACCTACAGGCTGAGTAGGCATATATACCATAGTCGTAGTGTTCGCAATTTTGTAACTAGTTATCTATGTACTCCTGTACATATTTGTCCTGGTGGATGCCTTCTCAAAATTCTTCCTTCTCTACCCCCAGTCCACTGTTACGTCCGAAGAAACCAGACAAAGCTTTGCCAACTTCATCAGTATATTCGGAACCCCAGCAAAACAAATCCACGATGCTGGCACTAATTTTACCGCTAAAAGTTTCAAAGCATTTACCGAACACTTTGGTATCGAGGTTCACGTGACAACCCCTGGCGTACATCGCTCCAACGGCCAAATAGAACGATACATGCGAAGCATAACAAACTTGCTGAGAATTGAATCAAATAAATCGTCAGATTGGCCGAACAAACTTTGGAAAATCCAACTAGTAATGAACACCACAAAACAGAAGGCCACTGGCTATTCACCATTTAAATTAGTTTTTGGTCAAGAAGGACAAACTCCTCAGATTCGTACAGTCTTAGCAGATTTACCCACTCCTGAAGCCACTAAAAATCCAATCGATTCTATGCTGGTATAACTGGGCACGAGAATGACTCTTAAGTGTTCAAAGGACCAGTTGCGCCACTGGCCGATCGAGTGGACTCCTGAGGATTTCCAAAATCTGCTAGAATTAAATGATTGTAAGTAATTCATTTTATTTTGATCAATCTATGCCGTGTTAGATTGTTGTAACTAGTTATCCATGTATTTTTGTAATTAGTTATCCAGGTATTTTCGTAATTTTGTAACTAATTATTCATGTACCTTCTAAATCTCTTTATCGTTAGATAATAAAACTGTTTACTGTTAATTTGCCCAGAATTATTACTGTCATGAGGGCTATACATTCCGAGAGCGGAATGATGTCAGTTTGGCCGTGTTAGATTCTATTTCAAATATCTAAACTTGGCTCTCCCTATAACACTGTTTGGTCGCTCACGCATGTGCGCCCAAGAACGGCGCGGGAGAATACGTACTGCCGCGCTGGGCAGACACTGCCTGACATTGACCGTGAGTGGTCGTAAATTATAAAAATCTAACAATATGAACAATCATAGTTCGTGATATGTTTCGACATGCGAAGCAAACATTTGTGCTTACCTAGTGACTACAAAGGTTTGCACCAAAGAGGTAGTAGATGATTCATTCCCTGCAAATCTTATGATGGGCAGGATATGAGTCTTGAGCAGTGTTTGCGTAGTGCTGAACGTCTCCGTGAGAGTTTCCAGAGGTGGCGTCGCCACGTCCGATGCTAGGTATAACGGCGGTAACGTTGCAATGCTAGAGTCCAGGATGTTATTGTTGTCCTTGTAGTTTGCAGCAGTTGCAAGAATATTTTCTGTCAGGGGTTCGTTGGGCTTGACGTTAGTAGGTTCAACGGTACGATGGTCGAGGCTTTTCTCGAAGGTGGAAGTGACTGTGACGTAACGAGTGTTCCTTACGCTGCCAACCTGGAAGCCAGAATGTAGATTTAAACAGTGTTTCTCTTGCATTGATTGAAACTTTGAATGTTGCTTCTGGACAGGTTATAGAAACGGTGTTTGTAGAGCATCAAACTAACTCTATAAAAACTACACACAAGGATGAACAGAAACATGAGGAACGTAGGAAAGTATTTGTTCTTAACTAACTCCAAGATATAGCCATACATAACTGGAGAACTTGTGAATCATACAAAAATGATGATGTGCTGTTCTGATGTTACATGATATCGCTATCAAGAATTATTAACAATTGTAGCAGTGGTTACTAAGGTTACACGCAGGTTAGACATTCAGGAAGTACCGATTGTACTTGAGCCGCTTTTTAACCTTTTAGTTAACTAACCCATAATTTTTAATATTGCATCGTTGCGTCTACAGTGTGAACTATCTCCTGCTGTGCATTTTATGAATCTCGGCGCTTCTGTTTCGAGTCCCCCATGACAAGTCATACTACTTTCAAGCAAAGAGGTTAGAACATGTGGGTTAACAAAATCTTCCTCACCAGCGCATAGATGGTACTCTGGCTAAAGTTGTCTATGTTTTTGGACAGAACTTTATCTTAAAAGACGATCCATAGTGAGTATTATTAAAAGCGTGTTTCATTGTTCAGTTCGTTGGTATTTAATTTTGACAAAAGTAAGCCAAATGGAACATTTGATCTACTGAAAACGAATCATTAGCTAGTATACCCTTTATTTATTTAGTCCGAAACGAATAATTTTACTTCCCACGTGTACTAATTTCGAAAATGAGATATGCTTTTTGAATGTTACCTGTATGACATCTACATCACGAAAAATCATGTCGCTCATTTCTATCGGTCTGTCGACCGTCTGTCTGTCTACGAGCCTATTGGGGCTTTTTCTTACATATATTTATTAATATTTCGAATTATAGAAGCATTTGATATATATATATATAGAGTGCGTTTTCAAAGTCTATAATTTAAATTTTTGAAAAATTGACAATACTATTTCCACTTATATTCGTCCTATTCTATGAGCTCACGTCAGAATACATGGACTTTCATAGTCAGCGAACAATAAACGTACAAGGACAATATAACAATTAAAATTCTAGAGCGTACAAAAGTTGACTCACATATACGATGCATATAGAAAGTGTTTTTGTTCAGAATTGCGTGGGAAGTACAGAGTCAACCGACTTGACGCCATCTTTTGTAGTAAAATCCATTAGACAAGCTGACAATCTTGTTTCTATCCCATTTCCCTTAGTATACCGGCAAATCCCTAAAATCAACTTACCTGGAAAGTATACGGCGACTTGATGGTAGCGATTTCGTAGTAGATGTCCCCAAAGTCTGGAGGCGTCGAAATCTCCACCTTAATGGTCTCCAGCGGGAATGCGGGCGTGTCCAGCTTGTTATCGGTCGCCTCTTCGTCGTCTACGATCGAAGCCACAGATTCGGAACCTTCAAGGCCGTCCACGTCATCGGATCTCGACTGAAACTCGGAAATGAACATAAATGGTAATTTTCACAAATCCTCGTTCACGAGGTAGCATGAATGTTTCACAGTACCCAAAAAAATTAAGGAAGCAAGATAAAAATAACATTTTTCGGAGATTTTTATTTACTTTTTTCTGATAGGCCATATGGATCAATTTGCCTGTTCTTTAGCTTCTTTATCCTGTTTTTAAAATCTCGATATGATCATTTGGCTCAGAGATATCTGAGTTTGATTGAAGAAAGATCCTTTTGTCATCGACCGCTGATATCTCGGTACAGAGACTGTACGGGTATCCCCGAAAACTGTAATAAAACTCAAATAAGATTTGATTGCAATCTTTGAGAACATTTTTTTTGTTTTCTTAGTATAATTTTAAAAACATCAGAATAGGTTTTGGAAAATCAACCGCATTTTTGGGACTGCTAAAGAGAAGGCCAAAAATTTAAGATTTTTTCATATATCAATGTATCCCTGTTACACCCCCCCGATGGCATATCGATTACGTTTGGGTAATATGGCCCAGGCATAAATAAGGCCCACTGATCATATATTTTTCTGTAGTGACATCTGTTGACGCATAGATTCATTATTTTAAAGTTCAGTCATGTCGGTAAATGAGGTTTAACTTACAGTTCAGAATTCCGCGCTCTTTCTGCACGTAAGCCGTTTCTGTTCCTTAGGAGTTGATACATTATTATTTTGGTGAAAGTTGAAAGTGAAATATTGCAGGGTATAATACAGTTAAAGGTAAGTACTTACATTCAATAGAAACCTTCGTAAAACTTGTCAGTTTGCCAAAGTATATATATATATATACGTATATATTAGGTCGTAAACCTTTACTTACTTTCGAACAAGAGGTAGAGTTGGTAGCTCGCATTTAAATCTCGTTTAGGACTACCACTCACTCCAAAATCCGTGCGAAGAAGTGTCTACCAGTTTTGTGTAACCAACAATTTTTCACATACATTCAATAGCTCAAAAGAGATGGCTGGGTTCACGTGGTATAAAAGTTTTTTGAGCGGCATCCAAAAATATCGAAGAGGAGAGCTCAATCCATGAAGGCTGCGAGGGCTCAAAAATTAAATCCCGTTATGGTGAGAGACCACTTTGATAAATTGTTGAAAGTCCTTAACGAATTAAGCATTCGAAACTTGCCACAACGGATATATAATCTTGATGAAAAGGGGTGCTGCCTAACTTTACATCATTCTCAGTTAGTCTTGGCATCCAAAGGGGAACGCAGTGTCCACAATATCTGCAATGAGCATGCAGAGAATGCAACAATTGTTGCTTGTGTTAACGCTCTTGGGCAAGCTTTGCCGCCTATGTTAATATTCAAAGGCTTGCGGAAAAAGGACTCTTACAGTGACAATTTGCCTCCTGGGTCGATACTTAGTAGTAGTAGTAGAAAGATTTATTTAGCACATTTGGCTACTTAAACAGAATATTTGTAAACAACTTAGAACTAGTAAATTCAAGCCATATGATGTATGATGTAAATTGGACAACCTATAATTGTAGAGTTAACAAGTGCTTTCTCAATTTTACTTTAAATTTTGTCAACGTTTTCTGGTCTTTTATCTCTGAGTATAATTTATTATATTCAATCAACCCGTGATGGAATACAGATTTGTAGCATATGTTATAGTTTTTGGTAATTAAATGGAAGTCATCTTTATTTCTGGTATTATGTAAATGATGGTCGACATTTGATGATGTTAAATTAGTTAGACTTGATGGAAATATATGATTTTTTACTTTATAAATGAATATCAGATATTTGATAAATTTACATTGAGCCATTTTAATTTGCTAAGCATTTGCCTAATTGGATTATACATATTTATCTTTATTCAGTATTATTCTCATTCACTTATTTTGTAAAATTTGCAGTCTTTCAAAAATGGAATTATTTGCTAAATATAGAATAGTGGAACAGTACAAGAAATTTGGAAGAATGATGGTATTATAAGAAACTCTCGATAAATATCCCACTTTACTACTAATCTTATTTATAACTTTTTCATAATGAATATCAAAAATTAATCGAGAATCAACAAAAACCCCCAGGTATTTAAAATTTTCTACGAATTCAATATCTTCACCATCAATATTCAGTTGAACATTTGTACATTTTTTTTTCCGATTAACAAGGCTTTCGTTTTACTTGTATTTAATTTTAGAGATGCTAACCATTTTGAGACAAGTTTCAGGTCTTCATTTACATAAGAGATACCAGTCTTAATATTTTTAGTACTTATATAAATCATAGTGTCATCGGCGAAAATCTGAATTTTGCATTTTTTTACTATGGCAGGTAAATCATTTATGTATAAAATAAAAAAAAGTGGTCCCAGGATACTGCCCTGTAGAACACCCAACGTATTTTCAATTTTTGATGAAATAGTGTCATTAACTTTTGTAACTTGCATCCTTTTAGACAAATAATCTCTAGACCAATCTAAAACACCTCCTGTTATCCCTTCTTCCCTCTTTACTTTTTGTATTGACATTGGCTGATGGTTTCTGGGTCACCAGACCTGACAGACTGACAACCTGTTACAGGATCTAAGACCCTACGGACCGCGCTGACCACCAACGATAACTTGATAGACTTGTCCTTGTGGGAGTTCTTGATCCTGCAGGTCTTTGATGATCAGCGACAATCCACTGTTGCGATCAAAGCCACTATAAGATTCATGCAGCGTAGCAATTTAAAATGCACTCTCTGAATCCATGGTAATGTTCTCGAATCCACGATGGGCAGCTGAATGTCATATTCTATACGAATTGTCATACATCGACCTTTCAAGTAAGGAAATAATTTCACTTATATCCACTTTATTTTATCGACAACGTGCTTTTATTGGTAAATGCCTCATCACACAATTTAAGAGATATTCGAAGGAGAAACGCAATAATAATCCGAAATAAGTTGATGGAAACTTTTCTTCCCAAAATGTCTCTGAGAATTGAACCCCAGAATCTTGATTTACCACCTAAAAATAGTAAGTGTCCACATCTGTACGTATTCTCACCTGTGGAGTAGCAGCCTCATTGTAAACAGGTTGTTGTTGCGGTTGCTGGTCTCCATTTTGACCTGATGTAATTGAATTATTTGCTGGAGGCTCGTCCGTAGGGTTCTGTTTCCGAATACTCACACGGGGTTTTGAAGTAGTCTTGTACTGCCACCGACCAGGTGTTCTGGGAATAAAAATATGCATTTTCAGACATATATCCCTAACAAAAATAACATAGATGTCCACCTTTTTTCTTCAAGAGGACTCTCATCTGGAAAACATATTCATTTTTTGGATCAAAGGGGGCACTCTTGAAATAGAATAAAAGCCGTTTTAGCTAAACTAAAGTGTCGTTTTGAAATGAGCATTGCCCTAATGTTCAGTATCGGCTGTAACATTTAATTAAAGTGCTCTGATTATTGGTAGGAGTTCATTAGTAGCAAAGTAATGATGGGTATCTTTCATCTGAATTTTTATCAGTTCAAATAGGTTCTCCACATACATTTTCCAAGAATGATGCGTATGACATTGTTGCATAAACGCCAAAAACCATGAAAGGGACTATATTTAAAAACTGTGTATTGAAAGAGGACTCATTTAAATAATGAGTATTCCTGGACGAAGGATCCAGTCGATATGATTAGATTTTTATTGTACACATTAGGGAATGGTTCACGCTCATTGATAAATAGGAAGCAAGAATATGAGAAACGAAACTCGTCTGTTTGGTTGCTTTACATATAATCAAGTGACAATCCGAAACAGTGAAGGGACGCGAACTCTTTTTTTACTGTCAACGTTCGTTCACAGCAAAGAAGTTTCTATCAACACATGCGGTTTTATTGCCCAGAAAAGCATGCAACATTACGACATGTAAGCCACAGGATGAGCTGCAGATGTTAAATGGATAGGTTTGTTGCAAAATACTATGTTTGAACTTTGGAGAGTAACCTTGGTATCTCTTATTGACAGAAAAATGCGGAAACACTGATAGTTAATCTCGTTGGTCACACAACCTTTTGACTTTTAAATTCAAGAAGTGTAACAGAATAAGTACAAACTAACGATCAAGGGTTCGTAACGTAACCAACTCGCTTCCGTTAATAAATGCTGGAAGTCCAGTAGCGCATTAGAACCCGAACTATAACTGATTTCAAAACTTCTGCAATATGTTCCACTCCGTTTGTTATTGAGTATATTTCTCGAACAGAAGCCAACCATGAGCCAAACTAATCATACCAATAATTCCGATTCGGTCAATTACCTGTTCACCAGCTAACTGGTAAATACGTTTTATTATAGGGAGTATATTGGGCACAGCAACTAATATCCGGCATTTGATTTATCCCTAAATGGTTTTAGATTCAATTTAGGCTTCCTGTTCAGATGGGATGAAGGAATTCCCTGTAATTACATCGTACGTTACGAGGGGTGAGGTATAAATGCAACCATGAAAGATGAAAATTATTTAAAATATCTAGAAACTCCAGTTAGGTGTAATGTTTTGTCTTACAATCCTACATCGCAATAGGAGAGGTTATTTCCTGGACAAACATAGATTTGACCTTTGATGAATTTCTAAGAGCTGTCCTGTTTCAAGACTGCTGGGCGACACGTTTGTGACCATAGAAAACCTTTACGATTTTGTTGTGCAGGAAAAAATGACGATTGCAAGAACGGTGTTACTAAATTATTATTAGATGTGCATGCTCCCTGAAGGGCCAGCAGGAGCAACGCGAAATAATCTACAAAGCGTGCTCTCGGAAGTGACTTTGATCAATTCTCTTGTATTTTTCTGACAAAAATAGGTGAGGTTACTGTTTTTGTAGCGTTTTTTAAATGGCAAATGGTAGGGTCATGTCTCCAAAAAGGTTTGTTCAGACAAAAAGTTAGTTGAACATCACATCACTCTGCTCTGTATCTGGACCTGAACCCTATAAATATACTTAGGGTAGATTAAAAATCTCAGTCTACACGTCCTAGTTGAGTGAATCGTTTAGAATCAGTTGAAATAAGATAACAGAATGTGCCATCTATTACCAAAATCGACCACTGCGAGAGTGAATACAGAAAGCTGTCTGTTGGAACTGTATCCCAGTTCGCAATGTCTCTGTGGCCTCTGATGCCCTCGAATCTGGTGATATAGTAGATCCATCAGTGGTCGGATAAACGAAAGCTGTGTTTCTAGCTTGTTCAATAGCGGGTAGACTGTATCTACTATACGACCAGAATCAGCAACATCTAGGAACACAGTAGTGAACTGGCTGCCAAATACAAGCTAGGATACAAATTTTCAACATACAGCTTGTTTGTTTTCACTCCCGCAATGGTCGATTCTGGTAACTGATTTTTTTTTTCAGTAAACTTCATATCCTAACACCTAGCCTGGATCATGGTGATAAGTTGACAAATAGCACAAAATGACTGTTCATGGTTAGCCGTCTGTAGTCGGACGAACAAAAACTATATTACTAATGTGGATTCAGCTAAACTTAATAGATGCGATCGCAGTACTTCAGAAAGAGCTGTATATTGTTTCGCGTGAGCCTTGATGAAATAAGGAAGCGTTGCACAAATCCTTCAAAGACAGAAAATATTGACGTAATTCAGGAAATAAATCTTTATACATTTTTCGCATTGTTATGAGTACCGACTCTAGAATCTGCCTGGAACTATTGCAGCCAGCAGGAATATTTTAACCAGTTAACAGCTTGATGATTTTATTTTCCTGTACTTTGAACTTCCTTGAATGCAAACTCCGCGAATCTACGAATCTCAATATCTTCTTGGAAACAATAGCAGCAAAGATTAATCGGTCCAATTCATTGCAACGAAAGGAACAATCCTTTACCTGTACCTTGCACACAAATAAAGTAAAACAAAGTCCTCCTTTGGAACGTAGAGCTATTGCAGAAGGCAGAAGGAAAACTTTGTTTGGCACTCACAGGTAAATAGCAATTTATACCGGTGAGGGAGAAAGTTTCATAAAAGGCATTGGAGCTATTTACACGACGGCATTCATTAGGGATGGCTCGTGAGAAAAGGGCTGAGCAATCAGAAGTTTCAGTCTCAAAACGAACGGAAGCGTTCGAGAAATTGTTTGAAAGTTTGATATTCAAATGACGAGGCCTGATATCAAGGAAATAATGCAGGAGCATTACAAAAATAGCAGCTAAGCAGAAAATTTTGTTTAGTAGTGAGTTTAACTGGGCACATCTATGAAATGTATGTCTGGAGATTGAGGAGGCAATAAATAAGGTCCATCACAGTACAGTATAGCGGCCTCAATAGGTTTGTGTGGCTTAAAAATAAATGTACTGGTCTAAAATCATCAGAGATTAAATATATTCACGACTGTTCATAAAATAACCTCTCAGCTTTTTGCGATGTTTAATGAAAAACTATCTGAATTTTGTTAGAGTGATCTAACTGTTGTATCTTCGGCCGGCTTATGTCCATTACATGGGTTTACTGTGATTTCTGGGAATATAAAAATACGTTACATAGGTTAGAAATTCATAAAGTAACACTATTTTGAAATATTATGTTTTAATTTAGACCAGATAGTTTACCAGGACGGACTAGCTCTAATGAAATATTACTATTACAAAAAAATAATGCGGTTTAAGTCATTGGGAAGGCTTATCCGAATCGGAGTGACACTCATTAACTTTTTTTCTTGAATGTTGTTGCCACTAAATGTGAATTTAGGCAAACTTCGACATTTCAACGCGAAATATACAGGGTGTCCAATAAGTACCACGAAAACTTAAGGAGAAGGTAGGCTTCGGACTGACCTCCCAAATAACAAAAACTTATCTACATATATAAAAGTGTCACCGCTTGAGATATTGATTTTTTACTTGAATTTAAAAAAAACGAACCTTTTCATCTGAGGTCTTTAGCTGCATGTACAAACAAGGTTATACTTTGTTCATTTTTTCTATAAAATACTTCTAGATAGTTGCTTTGTCATATACAAATGCAATGTAGTTAAAAGATATTAAGGAACCGTGATCAAATAAGGACTGTTTTGGGATTTATAATCTTCTGATATTTTTGCCTCAGCTCTGAAGCAAAAATGTACTGGGATATAACTGCATTATATTCAAAAAAAATTGCTCATTGAATAAGGACTTCAGAAAGGTACCGCACGTACTATTTGGAATAGAAAAAAGTGATAGCTGACGGTAATGGTCGTGATGTTACCGTGAACTCAGAGCGCTACGTCGACATGATCACCAACTTCTTTCTCCCTGAATTACGACGGCGACGTGTTCCAATCCGACGTGTGTGGTTCCAGCAGGATGGGGCGACCGCCCACACAGCCCGAGCATCCATGGACGTTAGTTATTCGCCCTTTCTTCCCTGGTCGCCTTATTTCCAGGTTTGACGATGTTCATTGGCCTCCTCGGTCCCCAGATTTATCCGTATGCGATTTTTTCTTATGGGGACACCTCAAGGCTAGAGTATACGCGAACGAGCCCCGAACTCTGGACGAATTCAAGGGCGAAATTCGCGTGGAAGTCGCCCAAGTTGAGAGAGCGATGTTGGAGAGAGTCTACGCGAACTTCCAAGAACGCCTCCAGCACTGCATCAACGATTTCGGCCACCACATGCCTGATGTGATTTTCCACACTTGACTGTCTCAAATGCTATTTCCTTATGAACCTGATTCCATCAATAAATTTGTTTTCGAGTAAAAATTAACTATATGATAATTTTTTTAAAACCGTCCATCCTCTCTGCCGCACCCTGTACAAAGATTCTGATATGATTTTATGAAAGTTAAGGAAACAATATCAGAAGGTTATAAATCCCAAAACAGTCCTTTTTTATCATGGTTCCTTAATATCTTTTAATTAACATACATTGCATTTGTATATGATAAAGCAACTATCTAGAAGTATTTTATAGAAAAAATGAACAAAGTATAACCTTATTTGTACATGCAGCTAAAGACCACAGATGAAACGGTTAGTTTTTCAAACTTAAGAAAAAAATCAATATCTCAAAAACGGTGACACTTCAATATAGATAAGTTTTTGTTATTTGGGGGGTCAGTGCAAAGCCTACCTTCTTCTTAAGTTTGTCGTGGTACTTATTGGATACCCTGTATGTACGCATGCACATGGTTGGCCCTACCTTATGCCCTGCATATCACTTTCTTGGTTATACAGGATGTTTCAGAAAGACGTATCAATATTTCTAGGGTACAAAGTACATCCAAAAATAACAATAAAAGTTCTCATACATATGGATTCAAAGATGCTCAACTACCGAGATACAGGGCGATGAAGTTTTATTTACTAAATGAAAGAAAAAACTACGTAGCGGGTAAATATACTGTGCTAGTATTTTAGTAGTTCAGTGAGCACATTATAAGCGGTAGACAGGCAGAGCTTCCCCAAACTAAACCAGGGACGTAGAAACTGGGGTACCCCTAGTAAGAAATATTTTTCGGAGAAAAGAAGTGCGTTTTATAAAATAGCATTCGACTTTCCATGAATTTTGTCTCTTAAGTAATCACCCGGTTTGAAGATATTTAGGTTTGAATATCTGAAGTCGAATCCTAAAATATTCTAATGAAAAGGCATAGCTTCCGGTATTTTGAAAACAAACACCGTGAAGCTTGATATTGGAAATACTACATGGTATGTGAAGAAAGCTATGGCACCTCATTGCAACGTTAATGCGTGTCTTATCCTGAATCAGCAGCGTAGAAGCTTACCATGCATTAATCTACTTGCAGGCCTATTCATTTTTCTTTATAGATAAAAATGTCGAAATAAAGAAAACGGTTATTTCAAAAAGAAATAAAGCTAATAAGGATTAAACATGACAACAATAAACATCATATCTGATACAACTTACGTGGTTATTTCGAAATTCATGAGTACATAACATTGGTAACCAAAAATAATGCTGAATGAATGCTATAACAACCAACCTAAAGGAGGTATTTTGGATTCAACACAAGCCCGTGCTCTACGCTACAAACTCATTGGGAAATACCTGGCATAGTACCAACAGTGTTAAATGCCTATACTGCGCCCTCCCACTTTATGTATGAGGCTGCTAACGAGTTGTGATATTTCCTTTGTTGAGCTCACTTAATCCGAAATGGTAAAGAATTTTGACAAAAATAGGCCGATAATTTTAGAAGTAAAAGAATAAGAATCTTACAAAAATTGACTGGTTCCACAGTTACTAGTTGTAATTTTAGACAAACAGAAGCAGCTTACATGGGTAGTACCAGGAGAAGTATAGCATGAGCACCAGTGGTGTACATAGACAAGTTTTAATGAATGGTATAGGTGTATATACAGGGTGACTTTGAAGTTGAGTCATTAATTTTCAGATAATGATTGTAGATGGAAGATAAACCAAAATATGTGTGTAAAAATAAAAAAAAAATAAAAAAAAAATGTTACGTTGTTTTATAAAGTATCCTCCCGACAAGTATTTCAGTGCGGACCTGTATTTGTTCGTGCGGTCTTGGAGCACCGGCATACCCTCCTCTGTGAGGTCTTAAGTCACCTGATTCACGAGCCCTTTGTACTACATTAACAAAGGCACGAGGGGTTGGTTGCACTCGATTAAATAAGAATCATGTCCACCAGTTCACAGGTTCAGCATTTTCATAAACATGTGCCACTTTTTATTTCGTTTGAGCCACGCAACAAACACCACTATTCACTCACGCGTTACCGACTGAAACATTGAGTGACATCGTGATAAACGTTTCAAATTCATTCGCTTTTTTGTTTCCGATGCGATGAACCGGCGGATTATATCCGTTGTTGCCAAACACGAGCACATAATATTGTGTATTATTGAGACAGGGCGGTACTCAAACTTCTAAAGGGCTATAACTTTGTTAATTTAATTTTACCAGAAAAATGTTAAAGGAAAAAAACATTTCTTCTGATCAGATCTACTCACTGTTAAAATAAATGACTCAACTTCGAAGTGTTTCCAATATCAAGAATCATGGTGTTCTCAGAATAGGGGAAGCAAATATTTAAACCTAAATATCTCCAAAACGAGTGATCTGACAAAAGTTCCTCAAGATACAAGGATATTTTGTAAAAAGCATTTTTTTCTCCGAAAAGACCAGTGGCGTAAAAAAGGTTTCCTATTAGGTGTCCAAATACCCCGGTTTCTACGTCCTTGTTTCTTTTTCTGGGCTGGGAAACTTGTTGATTATATGCTCACTGAGCGTGTAAAATCCTAACTCTGTAGATATATTCACCCTGTATCTTGGTAGATCATCTTTGGACCCATATTAATAGAAACTTTTTTATTATTTTGTATGTACTTTCTACACTAGAAATATTGGTACGTCTTTCTGAAACACCCTTTATATCAAGTTTTGCTAAGGCTAAGGCACGACACTTATACAAACCTGTTCAACTTGAACTTGTAAAGACTGGAACTGCCAGCTTGCTGCTCCTGCTGTGCCGGCGTGGGTTGTACCTTTGGTTTGAAACCCCTCCTGCTGAACCCCCCACCACTCTGCTGTTCGTTGTTGGCTTCCCTCTGCTTGGCACCCCTTCTCCCTCCTTTGCCAGCCCTTTTGGTGGTTGGCTCCTCGCTGTGTACAGGCGCAGGCGTTGTAGTGGTTGTAGTGCGTGTCCGTTTCCGTTTTCCCCCTCCACTGCCACTGTGTTTGTGAGTGGGGGTGGTACGTGCGGTAGTTTGTCTACATTGTATGTACAACAACGGGGTTAGTCATGCCATGCACGTTGGAAGAAAGAAGAGAGTTGTGGTTGTAGTTAGGACATGCGCAAGGTAGAGAAAAAGTATGTTTAGGGAAGGCTGGAAGGTAGTTTCCAAAAGCCTGCCCCGTAAGTTAGACGGAAACGTAGGATATAAATAATGAAGTATTTTTTAGACATTATACATACAGTCGCAAAACTTATTATGCAGTTCGCAACTATTCGGTTAAACGAAGTTTGTCAATGCTGCCGGCTAAGACCTTGTGTAGAACTCAAATTGCGTTTGAGAAAATAATAAATAAGTGAGAAAATAGTATATTATCGTGCATACAAAAAATAAGGCTAAGAGTATCTAACGCTGATACCGGTATATGTTCACTGATTCACCACAAGCTGTATTCAATGGTCTTCAAATTTTATTGAAGTATTTTTATAGTCTTTTAGTCCAAATAACCACCAACTAAGATGGTTTCTTTCATTCTAGTCAAAATTAATATTCTTAATTACTTGGGTACAAAAAAATAGGAGAAAGGTGACAAGTGATCATCATTTTACCCAGAAAATCGAAATAAGTCAGTAATTTTACAATTGACTGGCTCCACGGCCAACAGTCCGAATTGAGATCCCAAGTTCATTGACTGATTGAAGGGAATGCCAGATATGGTAGTGAACTTCTTCGGTCTTCCACTTTTAAATTATGTTATAAGTGTCGCTTATCAAGTGAACATAAAAATGGCAGGGTAACGATTAATACTGTCCCTTGATTATTCGTTTTTGATTCCAATTATACTGGACGTAACGTTAAGTTCATCTATAGTCAATACCAGTCTGCATCATTAATTTCCGCAATAAAAAGTAAAAAGAAACATGTTAAGGACACGGCAACACGCCTATGGTGACTGATTTAAAATTTTTAAATGCAGTCAAATTGACCGTAACCCCATTGTACTGACCTGGACGGAATATATCTTGGGACCCGAGGTTGGGGGCTTGTGCCCATTGAAACATTTGTTCGGGATGCCAAGACGCATAAAATTTAAAAAATTCAGAGAAATTAACCGAAACACATAGGCGTATTGCCGGGTCGTTTCTCAAGGTGATCTTGAAGCAACCTTCGAACTAGGAGACAAGCTTATGATCACGTTAGTAATATAACTTTCGTTTGTCCAGCCACAGAAGGTCAACCATGGACAGCTGTTTCGTGCTGTTTGGCAACTCCTTAGCATGGTATTGGCTCGGTCTCGGTGGACAACAAACGAAAGCTGAGTAGCTCTACTCTCGACTCTATTCAGAGTGTAAGGTTTACAGAAATAAGACAGCACGAGGTGCCATCTACTTTTTACCTTCGCAGTGGTCTGTTCTGTTAATAAATAGATGGCACTTTGTGCTGTGTTACTCATGATGAATTGAACTGATGAAAATTTTACTTTGAAGATGCTAAAATACTCCAAGCATGATACCAGTGCGTTAAGAATTTATATGAGACTTGTCTGGTCAATGCAGTGAGGGATAATAGAAATATCAAGGCACCTACGATTATTGTAAGTTACGGTAATGAACTAAAGTGTAAGTGTATGATTGAGTTCGACTCCGAAATTCATGTGATGCGAGATATATGTATACCAAAGATTCTTGTCAACGCTTTAACTTTGATACAGATCGTATTATAAAAAACATAATCATCTTATTCTTGACAAACTTATCAAGCAAAGCTCCTTTAGTAAACAGAGTTTCCCAGAGTATGAGCGCAAGCTCTGGACTCACAAAAAGAAATGTCGTAACAATGGTATCGAACTCATTACTGCTTTTTTACTTCCTACCCCACGAAAAATTTAAAAATTGAGGCATATTTTTGGATGCCATATGACATATAAATTACGAGAAACCATGTCACGTATTTCCGTCTGTCTGTCCGTCCGTCTTTCTGTCCGCTGATCCTTGATTCTCCTATAACTTGTAAAGTATCACTTGATTGATTGATGATTAGACTGATATTCAAATACTGATGAAGCATACATAAACGAAATATATTCATTGTAAAGCAAAACGACGAAAAGGACATCTTCATACGTTTTCTAAATTTATTTGAGCAGTGAGCCTGTACCGAGGGAAATACCCAGCTGCTGTCGCAAAAAATAAAAAGAACAACGAGTGAGAAACTGTATGTCTCGGTGTCGGTTGGTGGCAAAGTGTTTTAATTTGTTCATACAAAGGAAGCTTCCGGAAATAAATGGAAGACGGCTTTAACGTTGAAGCACAAGACGTATTATAAATTGCAATAAACCGCGGATGACGACGTTAAGCTCATCGCAAAAAGATACACTGCTGAAGATGTGAGTACTTAGTAACCTTTGTATAACATTGTGTATGGCAAAAACGTGTGAATAGTGGCGAATCGAATAAAGTATAAACTAATGTTATAACGGACATTATTAGTTTAGTTTATAGTTTGGAGGAAAAACAAGGGACATTCGTGGGGATGTCCGCAATAAAGTAACAGGCATCAACTAACTTCGATGTGATGGACATAATGTTATCACTTCGGTATTTTCCATGCATTCATTTGGGCTTGATGAAGCCAATAAGCAGAAATGTACGTCGTCGCTCGGGTTACCAATCCTATTTCTGCTCCTGTTCCTTTATTGCAAACATCCTCACAATTGTCCTTCGTTTTTTCATCTAAATTCCCGCAAAAGCACTACTCAATTGTTCTCGAATAATTTCTCTCAGTAGGCCCCGCACTGGAAAGAACAGATGATTCTACGATTCGGTACTGCGTGATACTTACTATTATATTACTATATTGGAAGCATCTAGAGTTACTGTTGAACTAACCTGAACGAAGGATTTTGTAGACAGAAGTGGTGGATGTACACTTTTCAGTTTTTATAACATACAGGGAGAACCAATTTTGTCTGAAAGCTTGAGTTCAATGCGTACGAGAGAGAAGCGCGAGAAGTGTCATCACATGTTAGAAAGAGGATCGGAATCGGTCCTAAACATACTCGACACAATTCGCAATTCGAAAATGTGTACGCTCAAAATAAAACCATAAAACCGGCTTCTATCTATTTCTAAGGTATGTGCCTATACACACTTCCCTCTCGTACACGTTGAACTCGAGCCCTCAAACAAATTTGGTTCTCAGTGTATATGTTGCGGTGTATATAAAGATCTGTCACGAGTTCACATAAATCAGCATAGCAGTGACAGTATCAGAAAAAACCAACTACTACAATTGGACAGCAAAATGTAAACACATTGCAATTGTAAGCATAAAAAGGCTCACGTTTTAATTACAATATATAGGACTTACCAATTCCATTAGAATGAAAAATATATAAAGAAATATATGAATAAAACAAAATTCGCGTGCATATTTTTCATCTATATACGAGTATATATATGTATATGTATATCCATCCAAATCGCGAATATGCGCGAAATTTAATATCAATTTATATCATGCTTATTTTTACAATGTTTAATAAAACATAATTTTCGCTGAAAATCCTATTTAGAGCTGTTCTGTTCGTTGCTCTACATTATTCAACGACGATAGGATGACATAGGTTGTATATTGTCATTATAAATGGAGTTTATTTATAATAATTCATCCCATGAAAAGCTGAGAAGCGAATTTTTGCCACAATTATATGCTGTTTTTTTTAAATATCTATGATTGTCGTTCATTATAAAATAATTCCAAACTGGAAAATGGTTTCCTTTTTTGTCTCATGAATTTTTGCTAGTATTTCTTTGAAGCTGTACCCTACTATGCCTAAACTAATGTCGTGATTTTGCCAGCTGTGGCAGTCAAAAATGTGGTAGATTAGTAAACATTTCCTCATTACTCAATACATATTATGTTTGACAATAGCCATATCGTTATTTTTCTGTTTTTTTTGTGGAGCTGAACCGCATGGTCTCATTAGCTAGATTTTTTCGCTTTATTAGGGTTGTCTCTGTTTTAATTTGGAGTAAACTACCATCAACGAATTGTTCTGTTCTTAGCAATATCTTTAGTAAAAACACTTTTCTCATGTATATCTCTATTATTACCATAACCTTTTAATCATAGAATAAATTTACCTCGGTTTGGGTGATAATCTAAGACCGTATGGCCATGCAATTAGCTGCTTCTAATTTGGCGACATTGTACAGGTAATTCACGAAATTCTACCACGTTTTCCTGCAGACTGAAACAACAACCACGTTTTCCTGCAGACTGAAACAACAACCACGTTTGATTTCAGTAATTCCTCTTTCAATTAGATTGGACTTTTACGTAAATAAGTCTACATTGATGAATTTTGACAATGATTGGGATAACATATTGAGATCTGTAATCTGCTTGTTTTCACGGCTTTTTTAAGTTATTCTCCGTTTTTTTATAGGAGTACGACCAACGCTCGATGCTACTCAAATAAAAGATGCTCGACAGAAAGTAGTTGCCTCACATATAACGCCGACTGAGTTCTGGTTAAAAAGAAAAACGACATTTAGTAAGCATTTTAACTAAATTTGGCCTCACAGATGAGCTTGCAATTAAGCTAAAAGTTCACAAAAACCTGGGATTCAGGTCCGAACTTGAAACCTAATTGTGTGATTGAACATGTGTACAAAGTGGAACTAAATCCCTATTATTTATATCATATATTGCCCTTTCTTCCTGCGAAATTATCATGAATTCATACATACATATATACAACACGTATATACAAGGCAATAAAAATATGGAGCCTTGATTTTGAGTTCCCAAGGCATCTGATGACACCAGGTTGATAACAAAATTTTCAGCTTTATGTCACATAGATGCCAAAAAACAAATACTCTAAGGAATAAAAATGTTTAACTAAAAAATCAGTCTATTCTGCTAACTAGTTAGCACCATGCACTGATTTTTATGTACATAGCCAAACATTTCAATATTTAGCCTAAAGGGTGTTGATTATAATAAAAAACGAAACTGAAAAAATCTAGT